GGATCTCATTGGGTCCCATGGACTTGTGCACCTTCAGTTTCCTTAGATGGTCTAGAACCTGATGTTCTCCTACAGTGGGCGGTTCTTAATCATCCCAGTCCCTGCCTTTGCCTTCTGCAACTTGGGCGGTGTGGCTTAAGCACTTGCCAGTGAAGACTGAAGCAAAAAAGTTGTTGAGTATCTCAGCCTTCTCCAGATCCTGGGTAGCCAGGTCTCCTGTTTCCTTCCGGAGAGGGCCCACATTTTTCCTAGTCTTCCTTTTATCACCGATCTTGTTGCAATGTAAGCAGGTGGTAAAACAAAAAAAAAAAGAAAAAAGCTATGAGACTGTTGGTAAGACATGTTTGTTGTGGGATAAGCAAAGAGTCACAGAGAAAGCTGATTCCATAGCAAACGATCAAGGAAACCAGGAAAAGGTAAGTGCAATACAGTCCCTTTAGTCACATCTTCCAAATGCATGGGACGATCCGAAGATGTGCATGAACTCACAGCAGACAAAAAATCAGAGAGCTGAGCTGGGCCAAGCTGGTACAGGTCTGGCAGATATTGTTTGTACTCCTTGCCATGTTCCACTGGCTGGGCAACACTGTAGTACAGAGCAGAAATAGAAGAAACCAGCTGTGCATAGGAGGCAGAAACATTTTAAGTTACGGGTATTTCTGTCTCTTCCCCATCTCCCTTGCTATTTGGTCACAGCTGGCAAAGATGGTGATAAGGTGTGAAACCCTTATAAAACAAGTAGTAATTAGAGGGAAGTGGAGGAAACAGAAATGAACAGGCAGTGAATCTTTTGCCTTCCAGTCTTCTGGATCTATTTATAAAAGTACAGACACCAATGTTGAAATTAGAGAGATTAGATTTCATTATGCTGAGAAATTTCTCCCGTGAGGACTACATTTGTCATCCTGTGTAATGAAAACCTGATTTTGACAGTTCCATCTGTAAGTAACACTCCACCATGCAAATGCTAGGCTGTGACTCATCGTGCCACAGAAAACAGGCCTGCATTTGTAGAGCGACTTTCCACTTTGTCTTACGCACTCACTTTTTTTTTTATTTCTTGTATTAAGGAAGCTTCTATCCACCATTGTTCAGCAAATAAGATCTCATCAAGTGCATCATCTTTTTGACAGTTCCATCTGTAAGTAACACTCCACCATGCAAATGCTAGGCTGTGACTCATCGTGCCACAGAAAACAGGCCTGCATTTGTAGAGCGACTTTCCACTTTGTCTTACGCACTCACTTTTTTTTTTATTTCTTGTATTAAGGAAGCTTCTATCCACCATTGTTCAGCAAATAAGATCTCATCAAGTGCATCATCTTCATCCTGACAGAATTGATTCTGGAGCTGAATTATATACCAAGTAATTGGAATGACCTAGCAGGGAATGTGCCTGAATTTATAAATAGGATCTGAACTCAAATAACATATAAGTAGGTAATAAACCAATCTCCAGATTTCCTGGTAAAGTCTCATTATCAGCATCCAACACCTCCTTGATTAGGTTGCTCTCCTGGTATAAAATCCAGTTTATTACTTTTAAATAATGAATTATTCTATTGGGCTCAGTCAGGGGTTTGTAACTGAAAGATTTTGGGAGCTGTTCTAGAGAGACTGGGATTGTTTTACTTTTCTTTTATGTTGTAGCATGGCATCATGACATGGGAAAAGTGGTAAATTTTTTTAAAGGTTAGCTTTCCAGGTTTCTGTTATCAGACTATCTTTATACAGCAGATTTTTTTCCTGAAATTCCCCACGCGAATCATAGAATAGAATCATAGAATCATTAAGGTTGGAAAAGACCTCTAAGATCATCGAGTCCAACCGTCAACCCAACACCACCAC